TTTTTTTTTTTTTTTTGGAGAGGTTTTTGCTATAGGGTGTGTGTACTCGCCAGACAGACAGAGAGAGAGACAGAAAGACAGAAAGCGAGAAATCACCTCCATTCTCCTCTTGGGATCTTGGGCACGCACGCACATGCGCCTGGCGTGAGTTTTAAGCCACCGGCTCCGGGACATGAACCGCGGTCTACTACGTGGGAGTCCAGCAACATAGCCATTACGCTAACTGCTGGTTCCCACTGACTATATCCTTTTGAGACCTAAATCTTTTCTAGTATAAGAGGCAAACCGATGGGCAAACGACAGTCTCCTTAACTGGTTTCTCTTGTCCAAATACATATTATTTTCCAATAGTTCGCGACTGCTGAAAGCTTGCTCCGTTTCCATTTCAAATCTGTGAGCAGTTTTCACATTGTCATTATGATGCTCTTCTGCAGATGTGGCCGAGCAGTATTTCCAGGAGAGCGTGACTCCCCTGCAGGACTGCGAGGGGGGGGGAAGAGCCCAATTTCTTTCAATTCAGGATGAATTTTGCCATTTTCTGCAAATCCCAGGACAAAAAGAGGTAAGAAATTTCGGATGACACGTCTAGTTATTCACATGACTGACCCTGTGGATATCCAAAGGGTGACTCCTTCACTCTTCCAGGATCCATGAAGCACCTACTATGTGCAAAACATGGGCCAGGCTCTGGAGACACAGATAAATAAGGCCGGGTGGCCACATTTGGGGCAGCTTCCAGAAATTTGTTTGTAGAAACTGGAGAACTAGGGGCCAGCAGGTGACCTGGTGGTTAAGGTGTTGGACTCCCACATGGCCAACCAGGGTTCGTGTCCTGGGCCTGGCAGCTGGATTGCTCACTTCCCCTCTCTCTTTCTCTGTCTCTGTCTGGTGAGTGCACATGTCTTGTAGCAAATCTAAATAATAATAATAGGTAATACATTTTAATAAATCATTCTTTAAAAAAAATACAAGAAAGAAACTGGAAAGCTGTTTACGAGAATATCACTGTCACATTCACCTATAAAGATCCTAGAGCAAAAAAAATAATAATAAATAA